AAAAGCGTGTCCAAAATTTCAGATCTGACTGCTGATGAGGTTAATATGTAGGTCGAATAGACAAGGTAAACAAATAGGGCATACTATTTTATGATACTGAATTGATTTGGAGAAAACATCTTAACTTCCCCAAAGAATTATTTTTGTATCTGTACTCCATAAGGCTGATCAAGAACTTCGATTTGCGAGAATAATCCATCATATGTGCATTGCATTTATATGGTATTTACGTGTTTATAGAACTTTCGAAAGTTGATTTTATAAACGAACAAATATTTCGCATTTATAATTGATTTCTGTCACTCGATATAATGCTTTTCCTTTCATTTGCCACCTCGTTTACCGAAAATTCCTTAATGAATCCACGTACCACTGCCAAAAACCTTCACTATGGAAACTGATTTATTCATTTTTGAAAACTTACTACACCTTGGGGGACCTTTATTTTAAGATGAAATAAAAGCAAATATCAACAGCATCGTTCTACAAGGGGCTTAGACGAAGATTCGAACCACAGACATCAGATTGTTATACTGTCAATTTAACTACAAGTAACTGAGCTAACACGATGAAAAGAAATGCATTTGCCCCATTGTGCTACACAAGCCAACGCAAAACCAAGGGGAGGTTACTGTATGCACGAAAACCCATTGTGGAACTCTCTAGTGTTCTGCGGTTGTTATCCACTGATGAAATCGAAATATCAAAACAAGAATGTGTTCCGAATAATTGAGAGCCATTTTGCGCTATAGTAACGTTACGTCATTTATTTGTCCTCAAACATCGTTTTATGCGCCGTTTTGTTTGGTTCATGTTTTTTGGGAAACAATTTTAACATTAATACAGAGTAATGATGAGCGAAGTTTTGTAGAAAATACACTTTGCATATGAAAGAAATGTACAGGTATATAACACTACACATACATGTATGCGTTCATTGGACGTCTCAGATTGTACATTGTATCTCACTCGGGCTAAACCCTCGTGAAATATATCCATTTGCGCAATGCACACGTTCAATCTGAGACAGCAGATGAACACATATACATGTTATTTGTTTTGCCTATTTATATAACTCGTCCGGTCTCTGTGTGTATATACCTTTGTACTACGACACACATACAATCATAAATATTATCTAAAGTTCACTTTTTTTCTAGTCCCTGTGTTCGTGCACCAGAACACTTAACTTGCTACCAGCGCTTACATTTTTGTAATGAGTTTCCAATTTTCTTTTTCTACTAGCTTATCTCACACTAGATTGAAACTTAGATCAGACATCCAAATGATCAAACTTATTAGGTTTGTTTCTGTTTAATCATTCTGGAGACGGGGGCTAGTCTACAAAAGACTCGAGAAACACACAGCAACAAATATTATCAAAAGTGCTTCTGGTCCCTGTGTCTCTGTGTTTTGCACAGGAGCACTATAAGAAACATCCCAGATGTAGTAATAAATATTATCAACAGTGCTTTATATAAATGTTCAGGCCCCTGTGTTGCACCAGGAGACGTATCACCGACTCAATCCACATGTGTGATATATTTAGATGTGATCGTTTCATTACATACATCCGTAACTATAACCATATGTTCGGGATGCACTGCTATCTAGCGAAATGCTACACCATAAAAACGCGCACAGCACGTATGTACATGCATGCTAGTGTCCTTAGCCCTCTGAACATAACCGCCATATTGCATGGTGCGTTGTATTTACAGCTATATTGTACTTACACAAACGGATAAGTAAAAAGTACTTTCGGTCCTGGCCTATATATATCTGTAAAATGGAAATGATCGCTGGTGGAAATGTTAACGTTGTGACTCTTGAAAAAGATCGCAATGTAGAAAATATTTCGCCATGGCAATCATTCTGAAATCTATACATATTTTATATATCTATAATCTATAAATAAGTGTTCGGGTGTGGATAATTTCGCGGTTATTCACCAAGCTCCAAAAACGCAAGAATTTTTACGCTGTGAGGATGTCCACTTTTACTGTACGCATGGCTTTCCTTATAATTCTCAGTGTTATTTCTATTGCCATTATTTAAAACCACCGAATCCAGATGGCATTCACGTTAGATATGAATGCAATTGCTCACGTATTGACGTCATTATTATTATGACGTCATAAGTGTAACCTTGGATACCACTGATCCTTACCCTTTCGGAAGATATGGCTGTTTTATTGATTAAACAGGTATACATGATATGTAAACTTATTTGTACTAGGAGCTGAAATTTGATAAATATGACATTCTGAGATAATGTCAACTGAAAATGAAGTGTTATTGCGCTTCATTAGATTTGTGGTATTCAGTTTGCATTCATAGTGAAGTTTTGGTTTGATTTGTTTGTGTTTTACGTCTTATACACACCTATGGTCATTTTGGTGATGGAGGAAAGCCGGAGTTCCCGGAGAAAAAACAGTACCTGGCGACTACACGACGTAGGTTTCGAACCCTTGACCCAGTGGTGGAGGGCTATTGGTAGCAGAACTATACTGAAATGTACATTTTTACACGTGTGTGATATTCATGTTTTGTACACGTGCATACATACAGGTACATAGTTAATTGTGTGTGTTGTATACTTGTATACACACGTACGTTAATGGAACATATATCAGTCTGTATATACATACGCATACATGGTTTTGCAAAAACATATATTTTTATTCCAACTATTTGAACCCTAGCAACACTGATAAGTCCTAGAAGGACGAAACAGTTGTAGGATACAGTGTAATTTATTTTTGGCATACTGTATTTATTACAAAATTTTAAAGGCGCAATCACCTGTGTGTTTGTGATAAGATCAGCTTTTATTAAGATAACTAGCTATCATTCAATCACGCCTACAACATATTAAGATATTATACACAACCTTTGGCAGAGAAATATGATATTTAGTCTCTAAATCAAGAGAGATGATTAACGGTATTTCTCTAAACTCTCAAAAATATATATGATGAGAGACCTTCTGTTACACACGAGATACGTACGTATGTCTGAAGTGAATTAAACATCACCAAGTCGAATATAGCGAGGCCACACAGATATTAAGCTTCATTTCTGGTTTTACGGCCATTTCTCTTACTTTGCAGACTAAATATCCTATTACAATGTCTGATGTGAGAATGGAAATTACACCTGGTTGAAAGGCTGTATCGGGTTGTCAAGGACAACTTCGGGTTGTTTCGGGTTAGCGAGGGCTGTATTGGGTTGTTGAGGGCTGTATCGGGTTGTTGAGGGCTGTGTCGGGTTGATAAGGGCTGTATCGGGTTAGTGAGTGTTGTATCGGGTTGTTGAGGGCTGTATCGGGTTGATAAGGGCTGTATCGGGTTGTTGATGGCTGTATCGGGTTGATAAGGGCTGTATCGGGTTGTTGAGGGCTGTATCGGGTTGATAAGAGCTGTATCGGGTAAGTGAGTGTTGTATCAGGTTATTGAGGGCTGTATCGTGTTGTTGAGGGCTGTATCGTGTTGTATCGGGTTGTTGAGAGCTTAATCAGGTTGTCGAGGGCTGTATCGTGTTGTATCGGGTTGTTGAGAGCTTAATCAGGTTGTCGAGGGCTGTATCGTGTTGTTGAGGGCTGCATCGTGTTGTTGGTGGTTAATGAATTTCGTGTGGGCTGTATGAGGGTTTTAAGGGCTGTATGAGGTTAGAGAGAGCTGTATAGGGTTGTTGGGGGTAGTATCAGAGTTTTAGAGTTGTATTGGGTTATTGATGGCTGAATCGGGTAGTGAAGGCTGTATCTTGTTGTTGTTTGTACAGGGCAATATGAAATTAGTACTTTAAATTGCCTGAATATAAAGGCTTTGTCAGTGGTACTGACATGATATCGGGTTATTACTCACCACGTGACATGTATGAACCAATGGGATTACGAGGTTCTAGACAGAGTCGTGATCAGTCAGAAATAAAATGCTGTGAATAAATTTTTTAAATATTTCCGGATTTTTCAATTTTCTTTTAAAAATACAATATTTCGTTGATACAGGCTTTACAACTTTGTTAAATAAAACATCTGTATGACTGATACAATTTTGAGGACTTTTGTCAAATAAAAATGACCACATAAATTATCACATGGGGCCATAGACATTCTTGTATACAGCTACTATTTCAATGTCATGGTAATATTAGCTGTTATTGCAGGTGGTTTTGCTCCGGGTACTCCGGTTTTCCTACAACACCAAAACCTGGCACGTCGTTCAGGAGGTAAAACTCAACCTAACCAAACCAATTATCATTAATTGTATGGTGAACTTAATTGCTAAACCAAGCACCAATGTCATACTTTTAATGCCAAATAACAGTAGATATTTGCGTTGCACTGCAGTTTTATACGTTTAGTTTGTAAGCATGTTCATCATCTAGTGTAACATTTTCAAGAATTATGTTTAACTCACTAAACTACAATATCAAGACTTGTAACAATTCATGAGTTTTGCTTGGCCTGATCAAGAACGCTATTTGTTACTGTACCATTGACCATCTAATTTTGTATTACGTGTATCGATTTCTTTTAAACACGGTAAGAACTCGATATAATGCCCTTCGTTCAATTATATTCATTTTACTGTCAAAACAGCCATGGTTCTCTTTTTCTTCTTGTCAGTTTTTTTATCGACTTTTCTATATATATCGTTCTCGATATATTGACAAACCTCCTTATAACGCTTACATTTCACTGGGCACTGTAAAGAGGTTTCGCTGCATATTGGATAAAGACAGTGTTAAGACATTTATAGTGCTTCAATAAAATTAGCAAAAAGAAAAAAAGAGACGAGGGGCTGTTTCGGCACAATTTCTCACCCCGACACGATTTCTCACCCAGGGGCGACCAGGGATGCGCATTATATAGAGGTTTTACTATGTGTTAAATACAATACACGCAATACACTAATTAAAAAACTTACCTGCCCTATTTTCGACATCGACATGCTATTTGAATTGTTTTACACACCACACATAAAATGTATACTTACTTTATCCTTCAGCTTGTCTATTTCCATTTCCAGGCGAAATTGCTTTTTATCCGATTTTTCGAGAATGTCAGTGAGATGCAAGTTTTCCTCCTCGACCTTTGACCTTCTGTCTTCCATAATGTCAAGTTCGTCGTGTAAACGAACCGACACTTCCTTCGCCATTTGTAATTCCTGTTCAATGGATCGAATATGAGCACGCGCATCATCGTCCTTGAACTGGTTTTGTAACATTCTTAGTTTATCCTCATACTGGAGCCGATCGCCTTCAACACTCTCGTTCTGACGTTCTGCCTTGCGTAATTTAAATTGAAGTATACGGCAATTCTTGGCTGTAATTTCCAGTTCACGTTGGAGGTCTCGGAATTCTTCAGCCTCTTGATCACGGAAACTGTCATACATTTCATCCATTTCCACTTTGAGATCTTGAATTTCTTGACGTAGGTCATCGTTCTCATCTTTAAGATCCGTAACAATAGCCTCCGAAGCGTCAACCTGTTGTTCCATGTCTGCAATTTCAGTTGTGACGTCATCATTTTCAATGTTTTCTTTCTGATGTTGCTGTTGTTGTATATGTTGTTCCTTCAGTTTATCCAGCAGTGAGGTATTATCCGTTTCCAGTTTCTCACATCGTACTTCCATGGATGTTAACTGACTTTTAAGTCCCTTAATCGCATTCTCTACATCCCGTTTTTCCATTAAAACCTTGCTTCCTTCCAAGTCTTTCTCCGTCATCCCCTCTCTCAGATGTTTATTCTCTTCATCGAGACTTTGACATTTCCCCTCCATGTCGCTTAATTTTTTCCTCAGTAAATCTAATTCTTCATTTACTTTGGCTTTTTCTGTTGAAAGTTGCTCCAATTTGTCTTTCGTCGCCGCTCCATTTTGAACGGCTCCAGAAGCATTGTCCGGAGTTGCCCCATATTTACTCCCTCCAAAGCGTGAGGACAAACTACCAGTAGCCGATTTGTTTACGCCGGGGATCGGTTGCGCTGTGTTTTTATCGGATGTCGATACTGCGCTGCCTGTACCTAACGCAGCCCGGTGCGAAATGCCCTGTTCTTTTGACGACGGCGACTTAATAGTACCTGCGCTGCAATCGTCAGCTGCTGTACCCGTATCGCTAGGTAACTTCTCCTTAACTCCCACCTTCTTTCGACCTAGGCTATTAAACTTAGTATCCGCTAGTCCTTCTTTGTTATTGCCAGTAAACGACTTGCTGCTGAGTTGCTTGAATTTATTGGAGATTTCCTCGGTTTTCGAAGTTGTCACCTTACTTTTATCCTCGAATTTTGATGTAGTTTGCTTGGTCTTGCTGCTAAATTCCTCAGATTTTGACGTTAAATGCTTAACTTTACTACCGTCGTCTGCTTTCGATGTAGTAACTGATGATTTTTTGCTACTACTTTCTTCCGATTTTGTTGATATTTTTGAAGTATTCTTGTCACCTGAGCTACTATCTTTCACCTGTGACAGCGAGCCACTGTCTTTTTTATCTGTTGATTGTTTTTTCCCTAAGTTTGACAACAGCCCCTTATCCTGCGAGAGTAAGGAACTCCCCGCTAGCTTGGAGTTCGTGAAAACCTTAGTTGTCGTCAGGCCTTGTTTCTTGTTAGCGTCAGACTTCTCTCCCGGTTTGGAGTCTGATGTTTCTACAGGAGAGCTTTTATTATCTGCTGTCGTCTGCTTCTTTGAGCCCTGTGACGTCACCAATGATGACACATTACCTTTGACCTCTGACTCCTTTGTCTGCGCAGGTTTCTTGTTAGAATCTGACGACGCCCCTGTACTACCTTTCTGTTTTAGTTCCAATCTCTCCTTAACGCTTAACGCACCTGTCACTAATTTACCTGGTGCTTTAGACTTGGGGGCTGTCTCGGGAGGTTTTGATTTTGAATGTGTCTCCGGTGGTTTTCCTTTATTTTTGGAATCTACTTTAACATCAGACTCATCTTTCAAATTTTCTGTAGATTTTTTTAAAATGTCTGGTGTTGATTTACTAAACCCGGTACCACTTTTTGGCTTGTTCTTATCTCCCAATAAGTTCATGTCTTTAGACTTACCGGTGTCGTCGAATGGTTGATTGATGTCCTGTTTCCTTGGTAACACTTCCTGGTCGCCATTACTGGCAGCATGTTCCTCCTTACTATGGAAACAATTTCGACACACATTCTTCTTAAACACATGACATTCAAAATTGTCACACACGTTACATATCACCTCCAAGTTTTCCTCCTTTCCTCCTCCACTCATCGTGAAATATATCCAACACGTACACTGGCCAGTTCCCCAAGCACGATAATTCACTCTTTCTCACTCTCGAAATTTCCCCGGCAGCGCCCTCGATCACGTTCACAAAATTCCAAAATGGCGGTTCATCTATTCTCTTTTCTTCGAAGCTTTTACACTTATTCTCATATGTCTTTTCCAGAATATTTCCTCTCCGATGTTTCCAAACGAGTGCACTTGTAATGTGTACTACGTCATCAATTTCTGAGTAAATGGGTACCCTTATACGGGCCGTGCGTGACGTAGTTGGTCCTATATGAGTAAACCGATCGTAAAGCTAAGCTTTCTTTTCTGCATTTCGTTTCAGGGGCCCGAAGAAGGGGAATACATTCTAACAGTAATCAACACAACATTCCGAGGTTGATGTTTTTCCGATGTGTCTATCTCTATCTGACAGTCGAGTAGAACGGACTTATCATCCCTCGTAGATCTAGGAGTCGGTCTGTTAGAAACGGTCGTCTAATTATTCTAGAAGCCCCCAGACTGCGTGTATATGTAACAGGACCTTCTCACATCTCACTAGACAGAACTACACGTGTTTCGTGTTACACGTGTGCATGTACTTCGTAAGTTAAATGTATAGAGGTGTAATCCTTTCAGTTGATTTAAAATTAATAACAAATATTGAAAGATATCACAAATACCAAAGTTACAGCTTACAAACTTTCTACAGACAGTTTTCTCTCAAATAACACGTGGTTTGTTGAATTAATTCACCACCTCCTAACACTTAAAACGTTCGTAAAGCTAGTGTTAACTGGTATTAGCTAGTTAGCGTCTTATACACTGCTTCTGCCGGTACTGTTATTTGTTTACCAAATATGTTTTACGATATCGGATATACTTTAGCTGTGAAGGTAAATACGGAAAGTCGCGTGTCCGTCTAGCTGGTCAAAGCTACGCTGACCAGAGTACGTTACGTCTCACATGTGGTTTACCGTTTATATATAACAGCTGAGAGCTGGAGAGGCTGTACATAGACCATAAGCATTTGGTATCCTCATCCCCGCTATACCACTGTGACGTAACACGAGACCCCGTCTCGTGCAGGGCGCGAGCAAAGGTCGCCGAGTTCAATCGGCCTGTTGAAAAGATAGCTCCCTGTAGCTAAATATAATGCAGTAAATTGCTCACCGGTTTTATATTAATCCTGTGTCAGTGTTGCATATGTGCTTATGGCGTCATCAATGCTTATTGTTCGTATAGCTTTCCACAAATACGATATTTTCTTTATCAATTGTAGATACTAAACAGAAGTATTTCCAATCTGCGTTTTTATCAACACTGATAAGTACATTGAGAAATGAATCCTTGTCTTATTCGGTTCACCGTCGATACACTGTTGTCCATACCTCCTTAATTGTTTATAATCCAAATCTCATTATCCATGGAACTATGCAATAAGTCTAAATTCATACTGCTTAAAATAAATTCACCTCTTTCGTCTCGACTTTAGATACAAAAACTGGTACAGTCTTTCAATATACGCTTTGGTGTTACCATCATGATGCCGAAATCCTTATCGCAAAAACCGAACCATGTGCTACAGTAGAGATTTCGTTTTGACTAATGAAGACAGCCTGCCTTTACACACCGGGCATATGAAGCCGTCTTACTGCTGATAACAAGACGTTATTTAAATGTGAACGAAATATCCAGTCAGACTATTCAGGTTAAAATTGTCTAAACTGAACCGTTTTAATTACATAAAATCAATTATAACAAATAAGCATTCCATGTATACCTTATAGAAAGTTCCTCAAGAATAAGCAACGAAATCCTAACACGCAAGCAATGGTCAAGACTTAGAAATGAGTATAACCTCGAATACTTATGTATACCTTTCCTAGGACTCTCGAATGGCGTACGCAGATGAACTAAATTTACTTCTGCAATTTTGTTTCTCTACCACGTATAGAAAAAGCTCCTTATTGACACATTTTTCGGTCCAAATTAAAATTATAGCAACTGTACACAAATAAGTTTCGATAATGAATCCGGGTGTTCAGACACTCTCACACAGAGCAACAGCGCTGACGTTATCGGCGGTGAAGATTGTTAAATGTCGGTAATTTAGATTCCGGCCACGCCTCACTAAGATCAGTAAAGGCCATATGTATCTGTTTTGGGTTGGGAGAAGGGGGAGGAAGGGGAAAACTGGACGTAAAAAACATGGATAAGCTCACTTGGTTGGGTTAACTCATTCTCACGCCTTCACTGATATATATACACTTCCTAACTATCAATATCCGCTGTCTTCGTAAACAATTAACCAGATCAAAAACTTTCGAATAGAAGCTCTAACGTTCCAACGTATATTTCCCAAACGTTATACATGCAAGTCATTTTTAAATATAACATGTTTAATCTTTATACACACAGAAAACACACTGTAATGACTAATATTGATAAAGTTAGTCCCGGACGATAAACTGGTATCTCCGTCATAAAATGTGTATGACATTCATGTTCGGGTATTTCCGTAAACTGGGATCACGGCGTCCGTGCGTCCGTCCATATGTGGGTTGCTGCTAACCTTCTCAATGTTTTTTCACGTAACTTAGTACACATGATAAGCTCCTTTAATAACCACTCGCTTAGTTTTAATTTTGAAGATTTTGTTGAAGGTTACATGATTTTTTAAGTGTCCACTTATGTAGTTGAACAATTTCATGGGAGTTGTGTCCCTTTTCTGATACAGTAAACCTCTCTATAATGCCCTTTGTTTGATTTGCCAACGTATTTAAATGTCCCCTTTTCTTGTTTTCTGAAGAATGCCTTTATGCATTACCCTCAATTTATTGCCAAACCCCTTTATAACGCCAATATTTATCTGGACTCGTGATGGCAGAATAGCGAAGTTTTACTGAATGTCGTCTGTGGTAGAGAGGGTATCGAACTTTGGTTAACAGTTAAGTCCATGCAGTATGACTGGTGAAGTGTTATTGTTATTTTTGCTGTGTTATGGAACATGTACACATAGATATGCCTCTATGACGTCACTCTGACGCACGTATATACAGATGTGTATGTTGGAATCACAGATTATGTAAGCACAGTCAGAGTTAACTGTATATCAGTATACCTATGCGTATACCTACCATACGGCGATTACAATGCACTTTACCGAGTGGCTCATGTGGATAAAACTACGCTATGCCAATAGCATCTGATCATGAACCACCATTGTAAATATTTACAAACAAGTGTCACGTGACTTTTAATGGAGGAGTCCAAGGGCCTCATGACGACGTTCGTGGATCGTGGAGAGCTGCGGACAAGAAAACAGCTATTTACGCTAAACAAACAAAAAATCAAACATCAGGGCCTGTAGTCATGAAACTCAAGCCCAAGCATCGATGCCTCCCTACAGTAAAGTCACGTGACATATCCAAAATATCATGTGTAAACATTGAAAAATGTAACTGGCATAAAGTCTGTTTAAAAAAATCAAACTATTGACAATGTGAACTTTTCATTAATTTATCACAAGAACAAGGAATCGTGCTTTAAAACAATCTGTGAGCTTGATCATGAAAACCGTTTCATAAATGCGGGCCCAGTTCGGAACACCTCGCCCCGATTACAGTTCCTAAGCATTCGGAACCCCTCGCCCTGATTACAGTTCCCAAGATGACCGAATTGCCCTAGGTGTTGGAATGAGTGAGTGACAGAACTACAGTTTTTTTTAACTACTCCTAACTACAAAGAATGCATGTTATCAATCCTTGAAAATTCCACTTAGGTCTTCAGTGAAGTCATTATTTGATATGACGTCGTCTCATTTGAAACAGCAAGTGTCGAGAATGTCGGAGTGCAGAAAAAGTGCAGCAAATTCCTTTGTAATTTGGTTATACAGTATATATTGTAATAAGCAATACTGACAGATTGATTTTTTTTTTTACAAATAATATGCTTTATAAAATGAAATAGCGACCTTGGGTATTTCAAATATGTCAATAACGAACATTAAATGACGGATGAAAATACGAGTAGACTTGAACATGCTCCACATTAAAGCTAAGGCCTCACAGTAGACTTACACAAACAACCTCCAGAAATTAATTTATTGAAATTTAATTACTAAGCCAAACTTTGAAGATCTCATGCTGTGACATCCCCGTTACACATACTTGAAATTTTCGCAAACAGATCTCCTCGTGACTAATGTATCTACAGGGTAATGCAAACGGTAATTCAATACTGCTTGAGAAGGTTTTTTTGGTTTTATTTTTGCTGTTGAACCAAAATGACTTAAATTCTTGATGTGCCATAGAACAATACAATAACAAGCATTGTGTTTTTTGTTGTTGGTTATATTACTGTCCTGACTAGATGAAAGCGAAAAAGAACCGAGGACAACATATCAAAAGAGACATTTCGGTTTGTGTTAAAACCACGAAAATATAGGTCCGCAGATTGCGAAATATATATTGTATATAGCTTGGAAAAGAGTGACTTAAAAGTTCGTTAATATTATTGCGTTCACTATAGGAACATATGTTTATAGACAATATGTTATAGTGTATAACACATGGACCTGATGATTTTTTATATGTACAGCTATCATTTTGACCTAAACTAAGGTGTTCAGAGTAATTTTACGTGTTTTAGGGGTTTATATCAACTTTCAGTAAAAATGACACCCCAAATGATCATGTAACCCCCAAAACATGTCAAATTTATGGCAAGCCAAGTTGTCATTTATTCATGGAGCAATGTTGATNTTACTCTGTACACGTTTAGGTCCAAATATAGCTACAACAAATTAGCAAGTCCCTGTGTTGCATAACCGATAAATCGCAGATATGAGAGGAAGTAATTACCTAAACAGCGATACGTTCGTCTGTTTTATGAAAAAATATTAAGAGCTGGCTTGAATTACGTTAACAAACGTGCAAAGCCTTTTTATACGACGCCATTAGCTTGATGTAACCATCAATTCTAGTGATATCACCATGGAAACAACGACTAATTCATTGGGCATCGGTAGGTGTTGATATTCTATAAATAGTACCCGATTGGTCCAAACATAGAATGGGATGGCCACGATGCACCGAAAGAGAGCTAGGCCAAGCAAAATATATGTTTGATTCGGGTGTCCATTTCTCAACGATCAGAGTTATCTCCCCCTATTTCCATTGTTGAACTACAAATAGTATTACTATCATCACAGTGTATGAACGGACTGTATAGGAATGGGAAGTAGCGATAAGCGGAGCGAGCTTTGTTTACAGATGACAGGTACGTGTCAATACAATAGACCGGTTTCAATGCCATCAATATGGTTCAAAACCTACCTGCTGTCTACTTTCGCTTTGCTGATGTCAGAGCTGGTGCTCGCTCCGCTTATCCACTGGATGTGCAATGGTATTTTTTTCCAAATCAAAAAGTGTTTTTGTCCACGACATGACATATTATTTTTTTACTCAGACGTAGACAAGTTCTCACCGAAGTTCATAGATATATCATACTGTATTTCTGCATTAGAAAAAAATATCTCGTTATTGATTTCAAATAATGAAAGAAAACATGACAAGTGACAAGAACGTGTTTATAACGTAGATATATCGGCAGTTTATAAAGATTTAGATGTAATATGAGCACAACCCTATAAAGATTCTCTTTGGAAGAAGTGTCATTATAAAACCAGATGTATAAAAAAAAAATGGGCTTGTTACTGTTACGCCACGATTTCTCACCCGACATGATTTCTCATTCGTGTTAGAACTCGTGCTGTATTTGCTTAATTCGCAACACAAATTCTCACTCAACCAAGAATTCTCACCCAGGTGAGAAATCGTGAAAACATTCGGACATGGTGTCGCATTTTCTCACCCGGCACAATTTCTCACCCCAGATGTAACAGGGTTATTGACAGATGGATATTTTCCGTGGCGTTTTGTCTTTTTCGATTTTTTTTTATTTTACAACAATATGAAGCAACTTTTTATCAACTTATATAAATCACTCTTGTTGGCTCTGATAGAAGCTAATGTTGGGGTGAGAAATCAAGGCGTAACAGAGGTACAGAGAAGAGCTATTAAACAGCTGACTGGATTGGAAGATCTGATATACCGGGTCAGATTGAAAAAACGCTACCAAAAACAAGTAACCAACTTGCCTTGTAAAGACTAGACTGGCCTCCATGTCTACCGTATTGAAATACTTAGAAAAAAATAACTCTTATAATGTTGATCACTTGGATGTCTGTTCTTCATAAAAGCTGTTAGCAAGTCTGGGTAAAGACGACATCGTGCTGACATGATTAATCATATAAGATCATACGGAAAATTTGAGAAGTATCTAAACAAAGATTATGTTTCAGTACCTAATTATACATGCAGAACAGCCATGTATATTTTCCCCGTTAATATACAGAAATCAATTTGATTGACGCATTTCCTTTAATATGGCTGTCCTTTTTTACCTCCACCACTGGGTCGCTGGTTCGAGACCTACGTGAGACAGTTGCCAGGTACTGGCCGTAGGTCGGTGGTTTTTCTCTGGGATCTCCGGCTTTCCTTCACCACCAAAATCTGGCACGTTCTTAAATGAACACAAACAAACCAAACCTATTTTTCCCATGAACAAACCTTATTATTTCATATCGTCGTGTCCTGTGTCCATGTTTTATCACAGAATTTAACAATTATTGACATCATTTGGCCACAGTTTTATTCCGTTTGTTTGAAGGATCAACAAATAGGCTGGAATTCAGTGTTTGTCTAGCGATACTTCTGGGCAATTTTCTTTTAAAAAATCCTCCTTTGACGACACGGGATTGCACAAAAAACACTGATCTTATAAAAAAAGCACACATGCGTACAAAACTTTATTTATAAAAAATGCATACATGCACCGTATTACAAAAACTTTAATGGCCTAATGACGGCATAAATACACTTTAATTTTGATGACGTCAATCACCAACAGCAAAGAACACATTAAGAAAAACTTCATTTAGTCAAGAGAAAACGGACCAATTGCCCAGCTTAACATCCGGGTGTAATATATATTAGCAGGAATACATTTAAACCGTTATCGTTTTGCACAGCGGTTTGGAGTTTCCTTTTTGGAAGATTTATCTCCCTTAGACTGCTAACCGCGCCGACAACATCGATGTGACATCTCGGCATGGTCTCTTAAGGTGGCTCCACACCAGCAAAATTCATTGAAACTTTCATATAATGGTTATGCAACTATGCAGAGTTGATTTTATGAAAATCTAAACACTCCAATAGTTTGGGGACCTTTTTGGAAAAAATACCAAAAAATTGAATTTTCGTCAAATTTAATATTTTCCGGTTTTTTTGATGTGGGACATTGTTCGGAACAATAACAACAATAATAAAATGAAAAGAAGCATTTCTAATTAACCCTACAAATATTTTATTTATCGCAAAATATGTAACACATGTTACACAAAGTGTTTTTTATTGAATTTGTACGGATAAAAGTGATTATCTACAAGCTAAAAGCAAACAGGACACAAAGATCTATACATATAGAATGGGAAATTGAACAAAATATACACAATGGCTTTATAATTAATTTATTTTACATTTTACAATCACTTCGATCCGGGTGAGAGTTATCTTCCTTGAAAAAAATCGGAACTTTTTGCAGAGGGGTGACATTTACACAATGACAGTTGCCCTGTTTACATATAACAAAAATGATGGAAATAAATCAAAAATATGATATCAAAATTATCAATTTATTGTTTTTTAATGGTACCAAATTACCCTCAGTCATGTACCGGTATATATATAATTACATGTCAGGTACATATGTGACCAGAGGCTATCGCATGGTATGCCGTTCTCACGTGCACTCACACATGCATTTAATAGGTTTCTTGATATTTTACAAAACATTATTTTCACATAGTAAGTAGACTACATTTGTAAACACGATTTAATCGACAGAGCGAAACTCCCTCAACAGCGAAAATCGTAACGACCTCGAGCTTATGAACTCGTGTGGCACATGTGAGGTCGGTAGCCGCATTCCATGCGTTTCCTATATAACCTTCTTGAGGTCGTTTGGTCTTATGTCACTGGCTTCCCGTGAGTCTGTTTATGTCTATGAATTGGAAAGATTTATTACTGAAGTACGTGTGATTATACATTTCCCGGTAAAATCTCGATATCGGGTGTTAACATCATCGGCACGCACGTGTACTATTGTTTACCAGGGGCCTGTTCGTTTATGCGGAGCAACCGGTTTGACCGTTTAAACGAAAACGGCCCAGTTGTTACTATAATTTGCACTACTATATTGAATGCCCGATACGCAATACGGAAATGACGACACCGTGTACAGGCACATTTCGATCAAGATAACTGAGTCCGAACTGTACTTTTTCCGGAAGTACGTCACGAAAATGGACGCTGATGACGATTTGTGGAGCCACCTAAACCCTTTCACCCCTATGTAACTTTAGTAGACAATACTATGCATTGATATGGACAAGTCCATTATGGTCTACAGTGGTGAAAGGATTAAAATTGACATCCTGATATCAAACACGTGAAATAATTTCCTCCACATTGTAGCCGATGTTGGGACATGAGAGCAGTTCCCTACTCCATGTAGAGATGATGAGTTATAACACACTACATTTCCCTACAAATCTATACATGGGGCGAACGACAGACCATTGGAAGTTACGAAGCCACTGTTTCGTATTTGGAAAAAAACCATGCTGTGGGGACACCATCTGCCAGGTGTTCGAGGCATTGTTATAGGAGTCCACTAGTTTGAGCAGGTTTACAATACATCGGAACGTAGTTCCCAATATGGTCTTCAAGCGTTTCCATTTCCGGCTCACGGTCACTTGGACAACTATATCCTGATGCACATGCGCACTGAAATTCATAGCCAAGCGCAGAGTCGTGAACTTCGTCCACGTAAATTTTTGAACATAGTGAATCGTTTTTCTTGCAGGTTTTCTGTCAAAAAATGAAATAATCAGATTAACGTCTTTAGGTACGTAAACACGAACAGCGGTAAATCAAACAGAGTTACTGCCCTTATGGCGTTATTAACAATTGCTTCGTATTGTTTCTTATACATACATGTAATTGTGCATTGAGCACAAAATGCTACGCATAGATTGTTTATATAATGACAAAGTTACTTATCTTGCATGTTCATTATGTTTTTGTTCAAATCATATATGATATTTACAAAAATAAAGTTGAAATAAAATAAAAAAAAAAATAAAAAAAAAATAGAATAAATAAATAAATTACTAATTATAAATAAATTAAAATATGATAATAGTCTCGTACGGATAAACGAGTCAAATAATCGGTATTGACAATTCAGTGAACCGGAAGTACTTAAAATTCACCGGAAGTACTCACCTTTTCACAACCATACTCATACATCCAAACTTTGTTCCGTTTCCACCAGTTGGACAATTGGAAAAGATTGTTAGGACACATGCATCTAGCCATTGACATATACACGCGCCAGTTTGAGGTTTCCGTCTCCATGACAACAGCCAGGTCGTCCTTTTCGCACATGCGTTCTGGCATGACGGGAATGCAGAACCGGTACTGGACCAGCTGGTCATCTATGGACAATTAAATCGTATGGTTTCAGAATATAAGTACGAATTACAGCTCTATGGTACTGTACGTATTTAAAATTAACAAGTCTTTGAGTTCTTTTTCATTTTCCTTTGACAATGTTTTATTTACATGATTTTCTAGAGTATCATCCTTATACTTAATGAAACATAAAGTAAACATGAAACATGAACATGATAAATGCAATATATAATCGATATGGGTTCATATCGGCATGAATATTTTGAAAATCTCTACTTTAAATGAAAAAAATATATTATACAGAACTATTTTCTTTAGACTACTTACGTCGCTCGTAGTGAACCCAGGTAAACGATTGGTTATCGTTTTCGACCCATTCCTCCGTACATCCGGGACAGTGGCAGTGGACACCGTCACTGACAGTCTGGTTACCGGGATATTTGAGAATCGTACTGCATACGTGACGGTTAGAACGGCATACGTCAATCTTAGATTTTGTCTGCTGTAAAACAAGAAAGATAAGTGTTAGCTATTTAACAGAAAAAGAGAAGTGCAAAGGACAGATAGGGATTCGAACCTGAGACCTCTGAAGTATAGGCTCATGCTAACTGAGCAAAATCCTCCTTTGTCGCTCTCTCCCTCTTTTGACCCTGTGTGCGTGCCTTGTTTTATTAACAACTATGGTAATTTAAGGACGTGCCAAGTGTTGGTGGTAGAGGAAAGCCGGAGTTCCCGGAGAAAAAAACACCGACCGACGGACAGTACCTGGCGACTGCCACACGTAGGTCTGGAACTAGCGGTGGAGGGCTAGTGGTAGCAGAATGTCAGACGCCTTAACCACTTGGCCACCGCGAGCCTTGGTCAATGTGTGTGTGATGTATGCATGTGTTGAAAATGTGGAGTTTGTAGTATGTTGTTATGGGTTTGTGTTTCTAACAGCTCGTTTATTACATGTAGCATCCAACAATTGGAAGGCGGTGTCGAGCCAACAAGACAACAGCACTGTCACTTTAAGGATTATAACCCACGGCAATTCAGTCTGCAGATCGAAACACTACGTTACAAGTCTTTGATCCCGAAGACATAAGATGACAATTTCACCTTCAGTGGTCTATTCATTTTGGCGCAAAATAAAATGATAGAATACAAAAGAAAGATCACTAGGGATTCTAACCTTGGACCTGGCACGAGCTGCTCGGCCATCGGGGATCAGATATTCCAGTTCATGTAATATGTACATGACTAACTAACGTACATGAATGCTAATATTGTATACAACTGCTAATATGAGGGAAATATAACAGTTTATGGTTTGTAAGCAAAACGATGCACGTTTGTGTAAAAGATCGTACAGTCTGTACCTAAGGACAAATGCTTGACATAAGATTTAGAATATCTTATTAACAGTTGTAAATGTAATCAAACATTATTTCTGTTTGCACAATATTTTTATTAATATAACTTGAATAGTTGAAACTTCAAAGCATGCGAAGAAAGACAACTCTTGATAATTCCTACGCCTTAAGATTGAGGTATCACGCCACTAAGTTATGATAATCTTTATTTCTTGCAATAGACTTTATTGGCTGTGTACTAATGCATTCACAATACTTGTTACATGGCAGTGGTACTAAACAGTTTTGACAAGTTACAACAGGCAGCCTAAATACGATATGTACATAGTAAATACAATCTGTACATATTATTTGCACTGGGTAACAACAGCATTTATAAATAAGTGTTACATCATTGTGCGTTATGACATACCGGAGTGGTACCGAATCCGTCCATTGGCTCATCTATATTGGAGAAATCGAACATGTCCGTCTCCTGGGCAAAGCCAACAGCAGTTGCCATGGTGACGAGGATCCATAGGAGAAGTAGCTGGGGTACACGTTCCATTGTTGTATCGCAGTGGCTGTTTCTCTTGTTAAAATGAATAGAACAGTAAGATTAAAAGGACAATAACAGGTTGCGAGATAAACAGTATTTCCCTTACAGAGTGAATACAAATCTATAGGTCTAGTATTTGTTTTCATCTTGAAATATTTAGGCTAGACGTCTTCTCTGTTATTTTCCCCTCACGAATTCGTAAAAATGAATGGAATTACCTTAATTTCCTTAATATGATATTACGCGTGTTTCTAAAAAAATATTTTCTATACATACGGTCATATATTTTATTAATATCTTACTTAAAATTGTTTTCTGATAAACGCTTTGTAAAAATATTCAATGTATAGGATTGAACAAATACAAAGTACAAGAATAAGTGAGTATAAACACATACCATGTACATGTGTAAGTATAAACACATACCATGTACATGTGTTAGTATAAACACATACCATGTACATGTGTGAGTATAAACACATACCATGTACATGTGTGAGTATAAACACATACCATGTACATGTGTTAGTATAAACACATACCATGTACATGTGTTAGTATAAACACATACCATGTACATGTGTGAGTATAAACACATACCATGTACATGTGTGAGTATAAACACATACCATGTACATGTGTTAGTATAAACACATACCATGTACATGTGTTAGTATAAACACATACCATGTACATGTGTGAGTATAAACACATACCATGTACATGTGTGAGTATAAACACATACCATGTACATGTGTTAGTATAAACACATACCATGTACATGTGTTAGTATAAACACATACCATGTACATGTGTGAGTATAAACACATACCATGTACATGTGTGAGTATAAACACATACCATGTACATGTGTTAGTATAAACACATACCATGTACATGTGTTAGTATAAACACATACCATGTACATGTGTGAGTATAAACACATACCATGTACATGTGTGAGTATAAACACATACCATGTACATGTGTTAGTATAAACACATACCATGTACATGTGTTAGTATAAACACATACCATGTACATGTGTGAGTATAAACACATACCATGTACATGTGTGAGTATAAACACATACCATGTACATGTGTTAGTATAAACACATACCATGTACATGTGTTAGTATAAACACATACCATGTACATGTGTTAGTATAAACACATACCATGTACATGTGTGAGTATAAACACATACCATGTACATGTGTGAGTATAAACACATACCATGTACATGTGTTAGTATAAACACATACCATGTACATGTGTTAGTATAAACACATACCATGTACATGTGTGAGTATAAACACATACCATGTACATGTGTGAGTATAAACACATACCATGTACATGTGTTAGTATAAACACATACCATGTACATGTGTTAGTATAAACACATACCATGTACATGTGTTAGTATAAACACATACCATGTACATGTGTGAGTATAAACACATACCATGTACATGTGTGAGTATAAACACATACCATGTACATGTGTTAGTATAAACACATACCATGTACATGTGTTAGTATAAACACATACCATGTACATGTGTGAGTATAAACACATACCATGTACATGTGTGAGTATAAACACATACCATGTACATGTGTTAGTATAAACACATACCATGTACATGTGTTAGTATAAACACATACCATGTACATGTGTTAGTATAAACACATACCATGTACATGTGTGAGTATAAACACATACCATGTACATGTGTGAGTATAAACACATACCATGTACATGTGTTAGTATAAACACATACCATGTACATGTGTTAGTATAAACACATACCATGTACATGTGTGAGTATAAACACATACCATGTACATGTGTGAGTATAAACACATACCATGTACATGTGTTAGTATAAACACATACCATGTACATGTGTTAGTATAAACACATACCATGTACATGTGTTAGTATAAACACATACCATGTACATGTGTGAGTATAAACACATACCATGTACATGTGTGAGTATAAACACATACCATGTACATGTGTTAGTATAAACACATACCATGTACATGTGTTAGTATAAACACATACCATGTACATGTGTGAGTATAAACACATACCATGTACATGTGTGAGTATAAACACATACCATGTACATGTGTTAGTATAAACACATACCATGTACATGTGTTAGTATAAACACATACCATGTACATGTGTGAGTATAAACACATACCATGTACATGTGTGAGTATAAACACATACCATGTACATGTGTTAGTATAAACACATACCATGTACATGTGTTAGTATAAACACATACCATGTACATGTGTGAGTATAAACACATACCATGTACATGTGTGAGTATAAACACATACCATGTACATGTGTTAGTATAAACACATACCATGTACATGTGTTAGTATAAACACATACCATGTACATGTGTGAGTATAAACACATACCATGTACATGTGTGAGTATAAACACATACCATGTACATGTGTTAGTATAAACACATACCATGTACATGTGTTAGTATAAACACATACCATGTACATGTGTGAGTATAAACACATACCATGTACATGTGTGAGTATAAACACATACCATGTACATGTGTTAGTATAAACACATACCATGTACATGTGTTAGTATAAACACATACCATGTACATGTGTTAGTATAAACACATACCATGTACATGTGTGAGTATAAACACATACCATGTACATGTGTGAGTATAAACACATACCATGTACATGTGTTAGTATAAACACATACCATGTACATGTGTTAGTATAAACACATACCATGTACATGTGTGAGTATAAACACATACCATGTACATGTGTGAGTATAAACACATACCATGTACATGTGTTAGTATAAACACATACCATGTACATGTGTTAGTATAAACACATACCATGTACATGTGTGAGTATAAACACATACCATGTACATGTGTGAGTATAAACACATACCATGTACATGTGTTAGTATAAACACATACCATGTACATGTGTTAGTATAAACACATACCATGTACATGTGTGAGTATAAACACATACCATGTACATGTGTGAGTATAAACACATACCATGTACATGTGTTAGTATAAACACATACCATGTACATGTGTTAGTATAAACACATACCATGTACATGTGTGAGTATAAACACATACCATGTACATGTGTGAGTATAAACACATACCATGTACATGTGTTAGTATAAACACATACCATGTACATGTGTTAGTATAAACACATACCATGTACATGTGTGAGTATAAACACATACCATGTACATGTGTGAGTATAAACACATACCATGTACATGTGTTAGTATAAACACATACCATGTACATGTGTTAGTATAAACACATACCATGTACATGTGTGAGTATAAACACATACCATGTACATGTGTGAGTATAAACACATACCATGTACATGTGTTAGTATAAACACATACCATGTACATGTGTTAGTATAAACACATACCATGTACATGTGTGAGTATAAACACATACCATGTACATGTGTGAGTATAAACACATACCATGTACATGTGTTAGTATAAACACATACCATGTACATGTGTTAGTATAAACACATACCATGTACATGTGTGAGTATAAACACATACCATGTACATGTGTGAGTATAAACACATACCATGTACATGTGTTAGTATAAACACATACCATGTACATGTGTTAGTATAAACACATACCATGTACATGTGTGAGTATAAACACATACCATGTACATGTGTGAGTATAAACACATACCATGTACATGTGTTAGTATAAACACATACCATGTACATGTGTTAGTATAAACACATACCATGTACATGTGTGAGTATAAACACATACCATGTACATGTGTGAGTATAAACACATACCATGTACATGTGTTAGTATAAACACATACCATGTACATGTGTTAGTATAAACACATACCATGTACATGTGTGAGTATAAACACATACCATGTACATGTGTGAGTATAAACACATACCATGTACATGTGTTAGTATAAACACATACCATGTACATGTGTTAGTATAAACACATACCATGTACATGTGTTAGTATAAACACATACCATGTACATGTGTGAGTATAAACACATACCATGTACATGTGTGAGTATAAACACATACCATGTACATGTGTTAGTATAAACACATACCATGTACATGTGTTAGTATAAACACATACCATGTACATGTGTGAGTATAAACACATACCATGTACATGTGTGAGTATAAACACATACCATGTACATGTGTTAGTATAAACACATACCATGTACATGTGTTAGTATAAACACATACCATGTACATGTGTTAGTATAAACACATACCATGTACATGTGTGAGTATAAACACATACCATGTACATGTGTGAGTATAAACACATACCATGTACATGTGTTAGTATAAACACATACCATGTACATGTGTTAGTATAAACACATACCATGTACATGTGTTAGTATAAACACATACCATGTACATGTGTGAGTATAAACACATACCATGTACATGTGTGAGTATAAACACATACCATGTACATGTGTTAGTATAAACACATACCATGTACATGTGTTAGTATAAACACATACCATGTACATGTGTGAGTATAAACACATACCATGTACATGTGTGAGTATAAACACATACCATGTACATGTGTTAGTATAAACACATACCATGTACATGTGTTAGTATAAACACATACCATGTACATGTGTGAGTATAAACACATACCATGTACATGTGTGAGTATAAACACATACCATGTACATGTGTTAGTATAAACACATACCATGTACATGTGTTAGTATAAACACATACCATGTACATGTGTGAGTATAAACACATACCATGTACATGTGTGAGTATAAACACATACCATGTACATGTGTGAGTATAAACACATACCATGTACATGTGTGAGTATAAACACATACCATGTACATGTGTGAGTATAAACACATACCATGTACATGTGTGAGTATAAACACATACCATGTACATGTGTGAGTATAAACACATACCATGTACATGTGTGAGTATAAACACATACCATGTACATGTGTGAGTATAAACACATACCATGTACATGTGTTAGTATAAACACATACCATGTACATGTGTGAGTATAAACACATACCATGTACATGTGTGAGTATAAACACATACCATGTACATGTGTTAGTATAAACACATACCATGTACATGTGTGAGTATAAACACATACCATGTACATGTGTGAGTATAAACACATACCATGTACATGTGTGAGTATAAACACATACCATGTACATGTGTGAGTATAAACACATACCATGTACATGTGTGAGTATAAACACATACCATGTACATGTGTGAGTATAAACACATACCATGTACATGTGTGAGTATAAACACATACCATGTACATGTGTGAGTATAAACACATACCATGTACATGTGTGAGTATAAACACATACCATGTACATGTGTGAGTATAAACACATACCATGTACATGTGTTAGTATAAACACATACCATGTACATGTGTGAGTATAAACACATACCATGTACATGTGTGAGTATAAACACATACCATGTACATGTGTTAGTATAAACACATACCATGTACATGTGTTAGTATAAACACATACCATGTACATGTGTGAGTATAAACACATACCATGTACATGTGTGAGTATAAACACATACCATGTACATGTGTTAGTATAAACACATACCATGTACATGTGTTAGTATAAACACATACCATGTACATGTGTGAGTATAAACACATACCATGTACATGTGTGAGTATAAACACATACCATGTACATGTGTTAGTATAAACACATACCATGTACATGTGTTAGTATAAACACATACCATGTACATGTGTTAGTATAAACACATACCATGTACATGTGTGAGTATAAACACATACCATGTACATGTGTGAGTATAAACACATACCATGTACATGTGTTAGTATAAACACATACCATGTACATGTGTTAGTATAAACACATACCATGTACATGTGTTAGTATAAACACATACCATGTACATGTGTAAGTATAAACACATACCATGTACATGTGTTAGTATAAACACATACCATGTACATGTGTTAGTATAAACACATACCATGTACATGTGTTAGTATAAACACATACCATGTACATGTGTTAGTATAAACACATACCATGTACATGTGTTAGTATAAACACATACCATGTACATGTGTTAGTATAAACACATACCTTGTACATGTGTTCGTATAAACACATACCATGTACAAGTGTGAGTATAAACACATACCATGTACATGTGTTAGTATAAACACATACCATGTACATGTGTAAGTATAAACACATATCATGTACATGTGTAAGTATAAACACATACCATGTACATGTGTTAGTATAAACACATACCATGTACATGTGTTAGTATAAACACATACCATGTACATGTGTCAGTATAAACACATACCATGTACATGTGTGAGTATAAATACATACCATGAACATGTGTGAGTATAAACACATAGCATGTACATGTGTAAGTATAAACACAGAAAATGTACATGTGTAAATATTAAGAATACAATGTACATTTGTGAGTATAAACACGTGCAATGTAAATGTTTAAATATATACACATACAATGTGAATGTATACACAATGTACAAATGAAGTATGTGTGTGGCATTGGATACACATACAATTGTGCAATGCACATACACTGCCAAAACGTTATCCTTTGCTAAAACCACAAGTGCTACATAAAGAGGCTTAGCAATCTACACATACATGTGCGTGTATGCATAAATAAATTGGACAAACACGTACATACCATGGTACATAAAGAAAAACACACAAAGCTTAACGTCTCAAAAAGTACGTAAAACTCGTAAAGAAACAGACAATGCACGTATATGGAATACATGTTGTATGCTAGGATTATATCTAAAATGGATTCTTAGTTATCCAGCCACCTCCGTTGCCAAATAGGAAATCAAGCCATCTTTGTTTCCAGGAGACAATCTTGCCTTAATGGCGGTACGTCCGGCTAACTGGAATATGTTTGTATAGAAAATGTTAAGTCAATCTCCTGCAACTGATGGATAGCAGGACAATTACATCAGTGGTGGCCTGATCAATGAGTACGGTAATAAGAGATGTTCATGTTTATACAGTCTATTTCTGCCCATGCTTTCAGTTTAAATCTTAATTAAGTATACTTTCTTACCTGTTTATCTACTGACCACTTCACAAAGTCTCTAATACGTCTCCAGACTGACCAGTAGCCGTATATCCATCACTAACCTCAGAAATGTCGTCTTCCCTTTACAGCCAGACCTCCATCTGATTTTCCTCTGTCTGTGTGGACTTTAGATACAGATGCTGAGCTTAGCCATCAACGCGATCGATATTTTCCCCAACGCCTCTAAACTCTCCGAGGAACATAAAAAATCAATATGCGCTAATATCAACCAATAATTACAATACGACAAAGAGTTACCCGAATCATGCTGAAATAATTATATTGATTCGAATCCTGATACTTAAATTATTGATTAATATTTTAAAGTAATTGTACATGTAGCATTGGTAATAATCCCCCACCTTTAAAACATGAACGATGTGTGTTCATTAGCAGCTTTAAACGACTTAATATATCTTTTGTGCATTTAAGACAACAACTTTTCGTTTATGTGACGTCAAACAAATTTATATATAGTACGGTACTTATATTTATATAGCACACTCACATTTAATTTCGCAACCTTCACCTTTCTGGTTTTCCCCCTGGCGTCAATAGTTCGAGTTTCACCTAAATTAAGTTTACATTTTTCTACATTCATGAATTATTGTTCGCTTTGTAATTTAATCACGATCATCAAAGAATAATGCGAATATGAACATACATCAAAACATAAGTAATCAAAATCATTATGTAGTATACATTACTATATCATATATCTGTTCCACTTATAATAGGTTTATGACTTGAAGAGAATATGATGTTTCTGGAGTTATCCCCCTTGGAACATGTTGCGCGTATAGCCTTTGTCGCAAGAGTTTTAAATATTGGTATTATCACGGAATTAGGTTATCTAATTATAATAAGTCCGTGGTATAATAGAAAGAAACCAATAATCTAAGTAGTTTAGAATGCTTATTATGTAGAATGAATAAAAATTGAATTGCAGAAATTATTAAACAAAAAACCATTTGGATATCCGTAAGACTCATGATTATGATTTAGTTTTACTTTATTTTTATTCAAATTCTACCCTTCCTGCGTACACTGATAATGGTCTCGTTCAAGCGTCTGGTTGAACGAGACTATTCTGTGTTCGGCGTAGCTTGCCCAGACAACAAGAGTCTGGTTAAACGAAACTACACTGATAATAACATAACATGATCACGTGACAGGTACCATTTACCCCGGACCATTGCCAAAAACTGTAGCTATGCACTAGAAACGGTTATTTCGGGCATGACTTTAGCTTTGATTTTGCCCTTATCTTAGGGTTGCGATCAGGGGAAATAACACCATTCTCACCTGAGGGTCGTGATCAGGGAGATCAGAGAGATAACACCACTCTCCTATGAGAGATCTTGACAATACCACACTCATCTGAGGGTCGCGAAAAGGGGGAGATACATGTAACACCATTTTCACCTGAGGGTCGTGATCAGGGGAGATCAGGGAGATTACACCACTCTCCTATGAGTAAAGGGGGAGATTAATAGAATCTTCCACTACCCTGAGGGTGTGATTAATAGAATCATTCACCCCCTTTGGGGTGAGATAGGGGAATATCAACCCGAGGGGGAAGATTCTTATGTTGCCAAACACGAGGCTTTGCCGAGTGTTTGGCAACTTAAGAAGCTTTCCCCGAGGGTTGAGATTCCCCTATCTTACCCACAAGGGGTGAATGATTCTTTTTCTCTTACTCTGTTTTCCCCAATGTGTATCATATACACAATGTAATGATAACGTTACATGCTAAATTCAGGGTTGACGTGACGTTGATGGATTCTTGACGTGACGTCATTGTATTATTGCAGTGACGTCATACCATTGTTATAAATAGGGGAATCCCCCCGTCTCAACCCTAGGGCGGAGACAGATAAATCTAGCACCGGCAAAACGGGAGATAAATCTGTCAGGTGTGGGAGAA